CCTCCCGCTCGCCTGGCCTCCCTTCACCGCAGGGACTTCGCTCTCCTTGTGTGTCAACGCGATTTTCATGTTAAAATTCAACCGAGATGCTCACCAGCCGCTGGAACCAGACTTGTCGGAACTCAGCTGCTCCAGGAGCAGGACTTTGCCCGCCCGCCTGGTGAGGGCCTTGCCCGCAGCTGACGGCGCCCAGCTGGCACCTGTTAACGTTTTAACAAGGCGGATGTGGGTGCTGCCCGCCCGGCCCCTGTGCCATTTCCCTGGAGCTGTGCCTCTGCCCAGCGGCTGGGCCCGCGCCCGTCTCGGCCTTTGCTGTGGGCAGCCGGTCTAGCTGACAAGCAGCTCGCCTGTGCCCGCTCTCAGGATGATGCCATCCCCCTGTTCATCCCTGAGGGGCACGAGGCTGGCCCTGGGCAGGGGCGCTATGCCTTGCCACCACACCATCTCCCCTCATGTCTCTTTTTTTACTTTTATTGATTTCAGAGAGGAGGGGAGAGGAGAGAGAGATAGAAACATCAATGCTGAGAGAGAACCATGGATCGGCTGCCTCCTGCACGCCCCACACTGGGGACTGAGCTGCAATCTGGGCATGTGCCCTGACCTGGAACCGAACCGTAACCTTCTGGTTCATAGGTCGCCGCTCAGCCACTGAGCCAGCGGCCGGGCAGCCTGGTGGCTTTAATGAGCATCCTTCTTCTTTTTTGAGAAAGAACACCTGGAATGCAGGTATTGGGGTCTGGGCCTTCAGGCTCACGCGCACCCGAGCCGCTGGAGCAAAACGCAGGAAGGTTTGGGCGGAGGGTGCAGGGGGGCCTCCGGCTCCTGGGAGGATCCTGTCCCCTCCCGTCCGTCTGCCACGGGGCTGGTGGTCCTCCCTGTGTTTCTGTCCTGGATGCATCTGTATCCTGGATGCATATGCATGAATGTCAGCCCCCACCTTCATTCACACACACACACACACACATGCACACACACATGCACACAGGTGCACACACATGCACCATTTGCCTAAGTCAGGGGTGGGAAAACTTTTTGACTCAAGGGCCACAATGGGTTCTTAAACTGGACCGGAGGGCCGGAACAAAAGCATGGATGGAGTGTTTGTGTGAACTAATATAAATTCAAAGTAAACATCATTACATAAAAGGGTACGGTCTTTTTTTTTTAGTTTTATTCATTTCAAACGGGCCGATCCGGCCCGCGGGCCATAGTTTGCCCACGGCTGGCCTAAGTCCTTGAGGCTCAAGGAGACAAAGGGCGCTTTGCCCACGGCCCTGAGAACATCCCTGCCTGTATGGACTGCACAGTGCTACTTGCTGCCGCCTTCAGCCTCCAGGTTCACCCGGCAGCCTCCTCCCCACCCGCTCTCTCTGCTCTCCCCCACCACAGAGGTCTGCTCCTTCTCTCTCCTTTGTTGCTCTTTCTCCTGCACAAACAGATGTCCGCAGGGTCTCACCTTCCCCACGTGGCCTGGCCAAGGGGTTTTCCTGAGCCACGACAGTTGTATCTCTGACAGGAAGTCCGTTCTCAGCTCTTAGAATTGTACACGCCACACGTGACCGGCTGGAAAAGCCACAGCTCCATTAGGCGCCTCCTCCGGGACCTAGGCAGGCGGCCCCCCCAGCCCCCCGCCACCCGCTGAGCCCGAGGAGACCTGAGTGGCTCCTGTGGCCTCCTGCCCCCTCAGTGCCAGGCCCAGGACCCAGCGTGGTATCACCAGGCATGCTGGGCTGGCATTTGGCTGGGATTGCATTGAATCTATAAATTCATGTGTGGAAAATTGACATCTTGGTATTAGAGTCTTCCAATCTATGAACATGATATATCTCTCCATTTACTTAGGTCTTCTTTACCTTTTCAGCAATGTTCCATAGTTTTTAGTGTATGTATGGATCTTGCCTTTCTGGCCCGTGCCTTTAAGTGGCATTTTCTGATTATTACGAGCATACAGAAATACAATAGATGTTTGTATATTGACAGTGTATCCTGCAGCCTTACTAAACTCCTTTATTATTCCTAGTAACATTTTAGTAGATTTTTAAGTATTTCCCACAATTATGTCATCTGCAAATAAAGACAGCTTTGTCTTCCTTTCTCATCTGTATGCCTTTTACTTATTTTTTTCTTGCCTTAAGTGCACTGACTAGGACCAATGTTGAACAGAAGTGACGAAAGTGGACATCCTCGATTCATCTATAACCTTGGGAAGCACCAGTCCTCCACCATTAAGCATGGTGTACACTAGGTTTTTCATAGGTGCCCCTCATCAGGTGGGGCAAGTTCCCTGTATTCCTAGTTTGCTGAAGCCATTTATAAGGACTAAATGCTGAGTTTTGTGAAATGCTCTTTCTATTGAGATGGCTTGTTAACCATTTTGTTTGTTTGCCTTGATTTTTGAATATTAAACCAACTTTGAATTCCTGGGACAAACTCCATTTGGTCATGATGTGTTGCCCTTTTTAATATATTGTTGGATTCAATTTCCTAAATATTTGTTAAGAATTTGTGTGTCTATGTTTGCAAGAGATATTGACTTGTAGTTTCTTTTCTTACTAGAGGCCCAGAGCACGAATTGGTGCACAGGTGGGGTCTGGCCGGCCTGCCCCGATGGGGGCCAATTGGACTGGGCCAGCGGGGGTGGGGGGACGCGGGAGGTTGGCTAGCCGCAGTGCGTGTCATAGCAACAGGTCGTTCCAGCGTTCTGGTCACTTGGCTTTTATATATATAGATGTGTGTTTTTTCTGATTTTGATATCAGAGTAATGCTGCCCTCAGAGTATGAATTTGGAGGTGTTCTCTCTATTTCAATTTTATGGAGGATTTTGTGTAGAATTGGTAGTATTTCTTGCTTAAATGTTTGGCAGAATTAACCAGTGAAACCATTAACCAAAAAGGTCTGGAGTTTTCTCTGTGGGAAGGTTTTAAACCATAAGTTCAATTTCTTTAATAGATGCAGGGCTAACAATGTTCTCTCTTTCTTCTTGAGTGAGCTTTGGTGGTTTGTATCCTTCAAGAAATGTGTTAATTTCATCTAAGTTGTCTAATTGGTACTAAAATATTGCTCATACTATTCCCTTATCATTTTAATGTCTGTAGGATCTTATAGTGATGCTTCCTCTTTCATTTCTGATATTGGTAATGTGTGTCTTTTCTTTTTTTTCCAAATCAGTGTCTAGAGGTTATAGATTTTATTGATCTTCTCAAAGATCCAGCTTCAGGTTTGGTTGATTTTTAAAAAAATCATTTTCTATTTCTTGGGTCTGTACTGTTTATTATTTCCTGTCTCTGACTTATTTCAGGTTTAATTCGCTTTTTTCTTCTCATTTCTTAAGCTGATGTATTTGAGACTTTCTTCCTTTTTAATGTAGGTATTTAATGATATAAATTTTACTCCAATCACTGCTTTAACTTCATCCTACAATTTTTGATATGTCATTAAAAATTTTAAAACCAGTTCAAAATATTTTCTAATTTCCTTTGTGATGTCTTCTCTGACCTGTGGGTCATTTAGAAATGTGCTGTTTAGTTTGAAGGAGGTTTTTAGATTTCTCTCTGTTACTGATTTCTAGTTTAATTCCATGATGATCCAAGAATAGACAATGTGTCATTTAAGTCACTTACAATTTATTACACATGAAGGAAGGCTGGGGGAGAATGATGGTGATCACAAGGCCCTAGAGGGCTTTGAGCGACAGGAGATGTGACTTGAATTGGGTTTGATCGGTCTGGGGCATCGGAGGTGAGAGGGGAGTGGGAATGCCTGGAGGGGGAGCCTGGGACGTGAGGGTTCCCTGAGTTGGCCAAGGAGAGTGGATAGTTGTCTGAAGAGTCCGATCTCCAGGGAAGCATGTAGCTTTGTGATGAGGCTGCAGATAACGGGGCACGAAGGGTGTAGGCGAGGGAGGAGCTTGGTGTCTGGAAGGGGCCCTGGGCTGGGAGTCGGGCCGGGGTTCGCCATGTCACTCCATGTCTCTGGGCTTTAGTTTCTTTGCCTCCCACATAGGTGGTCAGTGCAATTACCCTAAGTTTCAACGCGCGGGCTGCTGCCAGCGCAGGGAGGGTCTGTGTGAATTTGAAGAGGGTGACCCCTTGAGACAGACAAATGGCAAAAAGGTGCCTGTGGTGTGAGGTCTAAAGGCCCAATATCATGTGCTTCGTGACATCTGGTGAAACCAGGGGGGTCTCGGACAGCCTAACAGCGCGCTTCTCTCCCCTCCTGCTCCCTAGACAAGGTCCCCTGGCCGGGCGACACCTGGTATCCAGGGGACCAGGCAGTTCCCGGATCCCTGAGACGTGTGTTTTAGTTTCCTGCCAACCTGTGATGTCACTCAAATCAGCCACGGCCCCTCCCTCAGGAGCCTGAGCGCAGACGCGGGCCAGGGGGGAGCTCGCACGCCGTCCATTCACCTGTGAGGCCATCCCAGTCACCGCTCCCTCGCCCGCAGGTGAATAGGAGGCCGTGGAAGCACCTCTTCTCCAGTGAACACAGCCCTTAGGGTGAGGCTGGGCCGGTGGCTGGGGCCGGACTTCCGCCCCCACGTGCCTCCTTCGCGGGCG